ACATCGGAAAGGCATTTATTTTCAATAAAAATGAAGGAAATAATCAAAAAGTTGAATATAAAGAATCGGGTAGGGTTAGGATAGGTGTAGGGAGGGCTTTATTGTCCCAGTAAGGTGGCATCCATTAATGATTTGAATTAAAATTATAATTTAGCCTACACTCAATACGTTATTACTGCATACCGTTTTATAATGTAGTATAATACGGAGGTGCAGATAATTGCCACTATTTGCAATAAGTAGTATAAATAGCAGAAAATCCTGCTATTTTAACATAGTATAAATAGAATATATCGCTATCTGCACTTAGTTAAAATAGCATATTGTTAAAAATACTGCTATTTTCACTTAGTGTAAATAGAATCCATTGCTATTAGCACTTAGTGTAAATAGATGAGAGGCACGACAGCAAACCACAAACGTGTCTATGGTAACGTAGAGCTCCTGCACTCAGATTCGTAACGTTAGCTTGTTTGTGGTTATAGCGAAAATAAAGATTTTTTGAACAGCAGAAAAAGTGTAAAACTATGTAAAAAATGACAGGACTGAAACATGTACTTTGTTTTATAGAAGATGGTGTTCCCTCTCGAGCTTTCACGAGACATCCCCTTACCAAAAAGTAGTATACTTCAAGTTTATTTTAGTAAGTATACTTAAGTAAAGTTCAAGTATATTTTAAGTATACTTTATGTAGTAACTATACAAATATCAGTGTACTAGTAGTATACTTGTAAGTGTACTATTTCAATACTCCTTGGGACTAAATTGGCCCACTTTCTAGTATATAAAAGTATACTTTAAGTATAACAGTAGAACACTTTGAGTACACAACTAGTTTACATCAAAATGTTTAGTAAAATGTTTAGCAACTATACTAAAAGTGAACTTATAGGTATACTGATAGTTTACTAATTAAATACTAGTAATACTAGTAGTAGTACACTTTGAAGTATAGTCTCAGTAAACTACTAGTTTAGTAGTTTTATACTGCAAGTATACT